TCCCTGGCCCAAAGGCAGTCTACATATCAGACTCTAGTTAGCACCAGGACCTTTTCAATTCTGATGTTTTCGTAACCTCGAGTCAACTTTTCGATGTGTTTCTCGTACCCACCCACGGCTCGTGTCTCGTACCTCGACTTCCACTATTTTGGGAATCGGAGGAACGAGGGAGAGTCTTGCGTTGATCGAGAAATACTGAATTTTTAATCCTTCGATCTCTCCCCCCTTCATCCCCGAAGCGATATATTAACCTTCTTTGAGATGATTTCGCGTCGATAAGATCTTTTGCGAAAACGATCCGAGAAACGATCGTCGATACGAAATCATTGGATCATTTCTGATCCAACATTAACCCCACTTATCCAGACACGGTACATCCTAGAACCTAGATTATTCGTATCGTCAGTTACTGCTACTAAGGCTAATATTTACCGCTACCAACACGCAACTATAATCGCCATTAAGTACTGTTACTACCTAACATCGCCCCGTTATCTGACGGTTGTCTGAACGGTCAGTTTTTTACTGTTGGTTAGGTAACCCTAGGGATCGAATTGAATCATTGAAAAGGGAATAACGAGAGGCTAGACTCTTTCCAGATAGAACATTTTGCGAATTTTTTTCCTTTTCTACTTCCCGCGATCCTCGTGCGCTCATTTGTTGCTCGTGATCGTGAGTGCTGAGAGAAGGAACTTAACGCTTACCGATTTTTTCATGCAGACTTATACCATGTTAACTTGATACACAGTCATCTGAAAATTGTAAACGAAATATCCAAACACGAATTATTACATGAACGTCTATTAACGCAATTCTGTTTGGAAACTTTCACTACTTTGAGGCTGTATATTTAAATTTATAGAAATATACGATCTCCGGTACTTAAATTGCAAATTAATTTAATAAAATGTTGAATTTCAATTTTTTAAGATTGTTTAAAAATTTAAAAAGATGCAACCTCTCTGACAATAAATATCATTTCCGATATTGTCTCGTATACTTTTTATTTTCAAATGATTTTGTGTTTTAAAATGTTTCTTTAAAATATTTGAATAATTTATTATATTGGAATAATTGTAAATAGTTATTGTAACTGTGGTTAAGAGTCACGTTTCATTTTCGGTCCAGCAATTAGATCGATCTCTTAACCCCAAAAATCTTTCTGAATTTCTCTCAGCACGTAGTGCTGCCAACGTTATTTCAGTATGCGTTCATCGTCGAATCTCTCGAACGTCGAGAGTCATTTCGTGGAAATTGTGAATTATTTGTTACGATAACGTTTTTAAAAAAACGAGAACCTGTTCCCACGGATGTACAGTGACACACACGCAATCAGAGTCGAAACGGAAGCCTGACGACGAAAATCGAAAAGATCTTAAGCGTTCATTATGATTCGTCCGGCCAAGTGTTTATTGGTACGACTGCCGTGTTTTTCGTCTCGCGATAACGAGGCACGAAAGCAATGTTCTCACAGCAATCTGTTTGTTATGTATTATTATTGTCGATACTTTTTACGTAAATCGATAAGTTGTTAATTAGTTGCTACGCGCTGGGAGACGGAAAATCATCGCGTCCTATATTACGAAGCGTGTACGTTAAACAAAAGGATACGCTTCACTGATTCTTGGTGATAAAAGGCTAAGACTGTTATTCGTTCATGTTGAAAATGTATTAATTTGTCACTCGAGGTCGACATTTTTACAAATTTTACTCAACTATTATAATACCGATCAATATTCATCGGTTTCAAAATTTGTAATTGAATTTGAGTAAATTTATACATTGTGATGGAAATCAGCAGTCGCAGACAGTAAGCGTGAACGAATAGTATGATAAGAAAAACAAGAATCAATTAGCGAAATATGTATACGATGGGGGAAAAGAACGTTTCGATTATTCGCGATGATTTTCGTCTTCGTTCTTTGTTTTTTTTTTTTAATAAGCTTCGGTTGCTCAAAAATTCCCTCTCCGCCACTACGGAGAATGTTTTTTATTCGCGAGAACGATCGAGGAATAAACTTGCCACTGTTGTTTCTGCATAACGCGTGTAAAGAATTGATCCTTTGGTGGATGTGCCACAGCATTTAGTATCGTAAACAAATTTTCCGTCAGATTCACAGAAATTCGTTAAACATAATCTTTTTTCAATCCTAGGAAGACTAGACGGGAGTTCGTTGAAAATATGTGCTACTTTTACTGTTTAAAACATTTCGAGTTGTACAATAAAATCCTCAGTCTTCTCACGAGCGACACCAAGACCCAAAACCGTGAAACAAAATGGGTACACTGATCTAGTGTGAGTAATTTATTTATTACACCCACAAATTACCACGTGAGTTTTGCTCTTGGAAAGTCGTTCCTTACCTGGACCAGTCATTCTTTGATCAAGAGCAAACTTGGAGCAACACTTTGGACGTTCCGGTTCTAGTTACTTATATTGTTTCTCAAAGAATGTAATCGACGTATGTTCATTTACAATGTAAAAGGAATGACTTAATTACGAATTGAGGATTGTATTAATCTTGCGGTGCTGAATGTTGCGGCGCGACCATCAAATGGGTCATCCAGGCATGTCCAACTGGAGAGCTTCTCTTGGATAAGACAGTATTTTTCTTTACACAAACGTACGATAATTAATTAATTTTCCCCCGTGTTCAACGATGAACACCACGAACACCCACTCGATTTTTTATATCGCACTGATACGCGTTGCAGCGAGAAACGGTCCGGTGTCAACGATTCCGTGGGATCGTCGCGTGACCCCTGCCCCACTGATCCATCATTTATGCACGAATATTCGGATATTCAGCGATTATACATGTATATAAAAACGTGCACCACACGTACACACCATACACACGCGTCTGACCAGAAATTGTAATTTATCGTCAGTGTTTTACTAGAGTGTCAGCTAAAGCTACCGAGCGATGAACATTCGTTCCGACAGGCATTCTTACGGAATATATAATACACGTATTATAAAACAAACACATATAATATGTATATTATGTATCGTACACCGGGGATATATAGCCCCGAAAACAGTTTATCCACGACCAAGAAGTGCCGAAACCATTGGCGAGAGAGAAACATTTAGGAGGACGATCGAAATCGTTCGATCGTTTCGGGATATCCGTATATACGCAGGATCAACGATGATCCACGATCGCGCGTGCACATAAGTAAAACACCAGATGTACACACACGCGTACGGAATTGTACGTGGGCTCCCATCTACACGCGTACGGACAAAAGTATGTGTACAGTATTACCTCTCTATAAGCGCGACGCTTAGGCCCAGCGATGGAATTACAGAGAGCAATGGACACGTTTCCATGGACGTTTTTTCATTGATTGGCGGTTATTTTCAATAGTTTCCTTTATTTAATCGATCAACATAGTCCCCCATTTACGGTGGCGAGATATGATCGTAAAAGGGACGCGTTTATAGAGAGGGAAGTACTGTGTATACGTAATATATACATATACAGGAGCAAAACGGGATTAAGGAGAGTTTTCGCATCATTAACAGCCAGGCTGCACCTCTTTTTTGATTCTCACACGCACTCGGCCCACACCTGGGGATCTTCGATCGACATTCTTTTTTAGCGGTCAGAGAGAGGGATCGCGGACTTTACCACCAAAACTCGGATATAGAGATTTAATGTTTGTAAGAGCAATAACGATTGTAAATTTTTCAAGTACACTGTATTTGAATGTGTAAGTTGCATAAAAAAGACAGATTTTTTAGATATTGCACTATAATATTTATTATTACTAAGGTAAACGAGGACAGGGTCGCGGCACGCCGCGCTCGCGACGCTCCGCCGTGTGCGCGTGTGTGTGTGTTTCTCTCTGCCTCGATCGCGAACGAATCCGGGATCCACGACCACGAGGAGGCGATTCATGATCGCCAATCCTGTGCGACTGGTTTCATTGATCCCATATACACCCTCGGGACCGAGGGCGTGAATTGAAAATTCGGCGATCGACGGACAGAGTCGCGAGCGCGGCCGCCACGCGATGGATCATGGATTAATATTAATTAATAAAAAATAAAAAAAGAAAAGAGGCAGAGCGAATGCATTGTTCTTTCCAATAAATGAAGAAGCAAGATTTTTAGTGTTTACACTACAATTGATAAACGATTCTATTATTACATAATATTATATTAATAACAATATTATTACTGTAATGTTTGTTTTTGGTTATTAAAGTGTGTATATAGCAATATATTCTAGAAATGGTCTCTTGTCGAAATCTCTTCAACATCGCATGTCCCCTACATTGTTTCGATTGATTGCCACTGACAGGAGATTAATCTACGTTATTTCAGCTACAAGTTGAGTGCTTGGTCAAGACGAATCAGCCGTTTTAGGGTACTAATCTACATCAGAAAAGTGTTGCCTGTTTAGTGGTGATGTGATTGCAACAAGTTTCGATCGAATTTACACAGCTAAACGAGCATCAGTTTTCCTCGTCATGGATTACATTCGAAGTTTAAAGAACGCAGATTAGTACTCTCTGGCAGGTGGGAACCAGTAATTACAAGAACATTGTTAAAATCTCAATTGTTTGCAACAGTTTAGTTCACTTTAAAAAGCTCTTCCATCGTTCTACGGACAAGTTACACCTTGATCAAGCATTCATTTTGAAGCTGAAAGAACGTAGATTAATCTCCTGTAATTGAAAATAACAATAAACGACCAGAACACTGTTAAAATCGCATTTAATCGCAGAGTACCACTATTTTTTCGACTGGTGGCGCCATCCGTGGCGAATCGCTGAAACTACTAGCCAATTATTTGGGTAGCAGTTTCAGCGTTTCGCCACGGGTGGCGCCACCGGTCGAAAAAATAATGGTACTCCGCGATTAAATGCGATTTTAACAGTGTTCTGGTTGTTTATTGTTATTATCAATAATAGTGGATTAATCTACGTACTTTCAGCTACAAATTGAGTGCTTCAGCTAAACGAAAGCTGTCCGTATAACGGTGTAAGAGCTGTCCAAAGTGAACTAACCGGGGTACGCATGACGAGATACAGTGTCAACCGTTGCAAATAAATTCCGATTTCAACAGTGTTCTGGTCGTTTATTGTTACTGCCACTGACAGGAGATTAATCTACGTTCTTTCAACTACAAGTTGAGTGCTTGGTCAAGACGAATCAGCCGTTATAGGGTACTAATCTAAATTCTTTAAACTTCGAATGTAATGCATGACGAAGAAAAGTGTTGCCTGTTTAGTGGTTATGTAATTGTCACAGATTTCGATCGGATTTACACTGCTAAACGAGCATCAGTTTTCCTCGTCATGGATTACATTCGAAGTTTAAAGAACGTAGATTACTATTCTCTAACGGCTGGAAACCAGTAATCGCAAGAATATTGTTAAAATCGCATTTGTTTGCAACGGTTGACAGTGTATCTCGCCATGCGTACCCCGTTTAGTTCACTTTGAATAGCTCTTCCATCGTTCTATGGACAAGTTACGTCTTGATCAAGCATTCAGTTTGAAGCTAAAAGAACGTAGATTAATCTCCTGTCATTGAAAAGAACCATAAACGACCAGAACACTGTTAAATTCGCATTTAATCGCGGAATACCACTATGTTTTTGACCGGTGGCGCCGCCCGCGGCGATTCGCTCAAACTGCTAGCCAAATAATACCGACAGGTGAGGGAAAATTTCTAGTGATGGAAAAATGCGAATATCTCAGTAATTAGGCGCTGAAAATGAACACTGTTAATCACAAATTATTCCTGAGCTCTTAATGCATCAACCCAATACTGCAAAACCTCAGAATTAGTCAAAATAATTATGCCTGCAATACCGCAGCTACCTCATGGAGCGGCAACCCTAATTCGATGGCATTTACACCGCTGAACGGGCATCATTTTCGCTGGTTATGCATTAGATTAGAAGTTTGAAGAACGTAGAATAATACTCTCTAACGGCTGGGAACCAGTAATCACAAGAACATTGTTAAAATCAGATTTATTTGCAACGGTTGACACTGTATCTCGTCATGCGTACCCCGGTTAGTTCACTTTGGATAGTTCTTACCCCGTTATACGGACAGCTTTCGTTTAGCTGAAGCACTCAATTTGTAGCTGAAAGTACGTAGATGAATCCACTATTATTGATAATAACAATAAACAACCAGAACACTGTTAAAATCGCATTTAATCGCGGAGTACCATTATTATTTTTCGACCGGTGGCGCCACCCGTGGCGAAACGCTGAAACTGCTACCCAAATAATTGGCTAGTAGTTTCAGCGATTCGCCACGGATGGCGCCACCAGTCGAAAAATTTGTGGTATTCCGCGATTAAATGCGATTTTAAGAGTGTTCTGGTTGTTTATTGTTATTTTCAATTACAGGAGATTAATCTACGTTCTTTTAGCTTCAAACTGAATGCTTGATCAAGACGTAACTTGTCCATAGAACGTTGGAAGAGCTTTTTAAAGTAAACTAAACGGGGTACGTATCGCGAGATAGACTGTCAACCGTTGCAAACAATTGAGATTTTAACAATGTTCTTGTAATTATTGGTTCCCACCTGCCAGAGAGTACTAATCTGCGTTCTTTAAACTTCGAATGTAATCCATGACGAGGTAAACTGATGCTCGTTTAGCTGTGTAAATCCGATCGAAACCTGTGGCAAGTACATAACCACTAAACAGGCAACACTTTTCTTCGTCATGCACTACATTCGAAGTTTAAAGAATGTAGATTAGTACCCTGTAACGGCTGATTCGTCTTGACCAAGCACTCAACTTGTAGTTGAAAGAACGTAGATTAATCTCATGTCAGTGGCAATAACAATAAACGACCAGAACACTGTTAAAATCGCACTTTATTTGCAACGGTTGACACTGTATCTCGTCATGCGTACCCCGTTTAGTTCACTTTAAAAAGCTCTTCCATCGTTCTACGGACAAGTTACACCTTGATCAAGCATTCAGTTTGAAGCTGAAAGAACGTAGATTAGTCTCCTGTAATTGAAAATAACAATAAACGACCAGAACACTGTTAAAATCGCATTTAATCGCGGAAATACAGTGTCAACCGTTGCAATTAAATTGCGATTTTAACAGTGTTCTGGTCGTTTATTTTCTAGTGAGTTTGGCGGGCGCTGAGTTGCTCATCACTATCGTACACTTGAATCAGACATCATCAGACAGCAATAGCAAGCAATAGTAAACAAGGTGATTTTGATTGACAGATCGACACGTGCTCATAACATTTGTGAATACATTTTTATTTAACATGACGTCTAATGAAATGGAAGTAGATGAAGAAAATGAAACGAAGCCAAAGCAATTTCATGAGTTCGAATTAGATGACAGAATACTTAAGGTAAAGTGGTAAAGTATCTTTTTGAATTTAAAGGTTATTTTACCTTAGTTTAAAGGGAAAGAAACTGTCTCTTTATTTAGAAGCATATAGATTAGTATATAAAATAATATAATTGACATTTTATAATAAACTTTATTTCATATGTATATTTATTTCAGGCTATTGCAAAATTAGGTTGGTTAGAACCAACATTAATACAAGAAAATGCAATACCATTAATGTTAGAGGGAAAGGATATTTTAATTCGAGCCCGTACAGGATCTGGAAAAACAGCTGCTTTTGCTATACCACTCATTCAAAAAATTTTATTGAACAAACGATCCCAAAAAAAACAAGAGATTAAAAGTCTTATTATAGCTCCTAGTAAAGAGCTATGTAAACAAATACATGATGTAATGATCAGTTTAACTATAAAGTGTAGTAGGGAAGTGAGAACAATTGATGTTAGTCCACAAATAGATCTAAGTGCACAGAAGGCACTGTTAGCAGAGAAACCTGATATTGTTGTTGGTACTCCTGGCAGAGTATTACAACATTTGAAAGCAGACAATATGAAATTGAAACGTTCCCTGGAAACATTAGTAATTGATGAAGCTGACTTGGTATGTGGCTTCAACTTCTTACATTGAATTTATGTTATAGTAATATTCTGATATTTCAGATATTTTCATTTGGATATGAAGATGAAATAAAAAGTTTGATGAATTATTTGCCTACTGTATATCAAGCAGCTTTAGCTTCTGCAACATTGTCTGAAGATGTTGTAACTCTCAAAAAATTAGTCCTACATAATCCAGCAACTCTGAAACTAGAGGAACCTCCATTAGCACCATTATCTCAGCTGTCACATTACAGTCTTGCTGCAGAAGAAAATGATAAGGCTGCTATTTTATATGCTTTATTAAAGCTGCATTTAATTAGGTAGTTCCACAAAAATGAATACAGTTCCAGTGATTCTGTGTTAGTCATTTAGAATTTAATTTAGATACTTTTTTTACAGAGGAAAGACCATTATTTTTGTAAATATAGTAGATCGTTGTTACAAGTTAAAGTTATTCCTTGAACAATTTGGTATACCTACCTGTGTTTTAAATTCAGAATTACCAGCTGTTTCAAGATGTAGAGCAGTTACTCAATTCAATTCTGGAACATATGATATTATAATAGCATCAGATGAAAAATCATTGGAAGAAGTAAGTTTCATACACATTACCTATTTGTATAATACATGTATATTGTACAGCTGCAATAGTTATTATCTCTTGTAGCCACACTTAGTGAAAGTTAAAAAAGGCAAAAGGAAAAAGGACAAGGAATCCGGTGTAGCACGTGGCATAGATTTTCAATTTGTGTCTAATATAATAAACTTTGATTTTCCTTTGGATGTTAACTCTTACATTCATAGAGCTGGGCGTACCGCACGAGGAAAGAACCAAGGAACTGCGTTGAGTTTTATATCAGTCAGAGAGAGACCTCTCCTTGAACAAGTTGAAGAAGAATTAAAACATTGTTACAATCGCGATACATTATTTAAAACGTACCAGTTTAAATTAGAGGAGGTTGAAGGTTTTCGGTATGTAAAACTTAATTTAATTTATATAGGACAGGAAATAATATGGAAATCTTACGCGAGTTTCGGTCACGTAATTTAATCGGGCTCGGTACCGATGTCGTAAAAGACTTAAATTTCTGTTGCGCCCTCTACAATTAAGAACGGTGAAGTCGAGAACTACATTCAGTGCGGTTACTGAAGTTAACAGAAAGAAGATTAAAGCTAATACGAAATTGAAGATAGAATCGTTCCAGTTTCTTTATTTCTAACAAAATTAGTACATAATTCTGTTACAGTTGGGTATACCTCTTGTCTCAAACATATTACTTTTATTCTATGCTAATTAGTGATTTTATATTTTACATTCATACTAATACTTTCATTTTCTTCAGATACCGAGCAAAGGATGCATGGCAAGCAGTAACAAGAATAGCTGTTCGCGAGGCTCGCTTAAAAGAAATAAAACAGGAAGTATTGAATTGTCAGAAATTGAAAAGCTATTTTGAAGATAACCCAAGGGATTTGCAATCCTTAAGACAAGATAAAGCACTGCATACTGTGAAATTACAACCACACTTAAAAGATGTACCTGACTATATAGTTCCGCCCTCTTTGAAAAGACTAGTAGGAATTGGTAAAAGGAAAAGGTTTAATAGAGAAGCTGCAGCATCCAGACCTACTGCCACACAATCGAAATACAAAGCACGGGCATCGAATCCGCTAGTTAGTTTACAAATACAAAAATAAAAAATGATTCTGTACCAGTCTTTTTAAACTCATTTATTTGTTTTCGTTCAGTATAAATAACATTCTATTAAAATGTGTAACTGTATGGTTTCTAATTGTACAAAACTTGTAGGTGAAAAATTACGTGCTATTCAAATATTTTTTTTAAACATAGAATATTAGAGTATCGTAATTGTTATAATTATAATTTTTCTGTAATCCGTTTTGGTTTGTATTTTTTCCTGATACCATCATTATATCCTTCTCTATTTCTGGTAAGTTCAATGGCATAAAATTGTATTCTAGTTGTGAGTATACTGTTTTCTTCTGAGTAATCTCCTTCACAATCTGCCCTCAACAATGTACCAAAACTGTAATCTTCCACAAGCCCTTTGAACTGTTCACAAAATGGTCTCCACCTCACTTTTCCTTCTTCTGACTTTAACTCATCTTCATTTATCTTATCCACCTTAAGATCGGGAAAAATTTCTCTAAAGGTTTTATATATCTGTTCATCATGAGGAGTAAGCTTCAAAAGTTTAGGATCAACAGAGCACAAAATCTAAAACAGAACAGTGCACAATGTAATAAGACTTACTCTGTTTCTGATTAGTATATTTTTCAAATAAATTTATGTTTACATTAAAGTAAACTTCAGCATGCTCCATTGCTTTCATTGCCCACATAGCTTCCACAGAAGGCTGAAAAACACGTGAAAATATTTTAATTATTGGGATAAATTTAGTTGTTTTATATTGTTTAAGTGTAACTTACATCATTACTAAATTCCTCCGCGGGTCTGGTCAGTACACTAGAACCAGCTAGCAGTTGATCAGCAGTCTTAAAATTAACACAAATATCACTATAATTTTTATCAATAAAATAAAAAACATAAAGTGATATAGCTATTATTTACGTGAAAAAGTACGGGGTAGGTTAAGGACCGTTTCCGGACGCAAAAAACGTATGAAATTAGCACAAAGGTATTGTACTTACAACATCTCCGATGAACGCCATTTCTCTACCAACTAACACCAATTTGATATAAAAAAATTATCGAAAGTGTTTCAATGTGTTTATATGAATATTTTATGTTTATGATTGAGAATCGAACATGTAATATACATGTCACGCTAGCTCAAATATACACCACGTGCAGCGAAATGGAGCAAAGTGACACCGAGAAGGGAGCGGAACCAATCATTGTTCCGGTTTAACAGCTGCTACGATTTTGTACTATATCAATGATACTGTTACGATAATTTATTTCAAATAAGAAATAAATATATTTAGAGAAAATTTCCTTCAAAATGGTCAGCGCGAAAGATGAAGATATTCACAAAAGTGTGTTAAAATTAATAGACGACATTCATTATGGGTGAGAGTTAAAGTTCGTCTAACCTTGCATAAAACAAATTTTTATGTTAATTTGTGTTTCAGTGACATTAAAGGCACGTACAATATTGTGGTGGCAACTATATTGGTTTTAAAAGAAATTATAAATAACACAGAATGGACTACTGCCAAGTACAAACTGCATATTTCTTTTTAATGTCCATAAAGTTTTGCATAATCCTAAGTAGTGTTGAGTATCAATATTCTTCATGAAAATGAATTATAATCTTATTTAAATATTAATGCACTCCATTCACATACCCTTAGGTTTATGCAATTTCTTTAAGCAACTAATCTTTCTAATACATACTATGAATTATGTTAATTATATGTTTTTATCTTAAAAGAAATCTCATGAGTGTGATATCGCGTAATGGAAAATATTTAATGAAAGAAATTCCTCTTGAATTCTGTGTTGGAAATATGGTGCGGAGGATATTGAAAATAATTAGAGAGGAATATACTTCAGAATTACAAAATAAAACTGAAGAAACGGATCCCCAGGACTCGTTACATAAAATTCTTACTGCAGAGGGTGGTCAACAAATTGATTTTAATATCTCTGTGCCTTCCCTAAAATCAGCTCTTATAGAACACATAAATGAATTTGAGGTTGAATTAGAAACTTGGTTAGTTAAAATGATGCAATTTAAAGACAATGCATTCCTAATACATGTCATCTATACATGTGACTTCCTTTTTAGTGGTGAAAATATTAGATGTCAAGCTTCTGAACATATTCATTCTAATGAAATTATTATGACAATTGGCAAATCGAATTTAGTAGAAGAATTTTTTAAAAAGGCAGCTGCAACTAGAGCATTTGAAGTTATAATAGCTGAAGGAGGACCATCTTTAAATGTGAGGAAATTTTATATGTAAAATTTATAGATTAGTGTTTTTTATAAACTCAATTAAAAAAATCTGTGTTATTTATAGGGCCATGAAATGGCAGTCAACCTTGCCAAGGCAAAGATTAAAACTACTTTAATATCAGATGCAGCAATTTTTGCAATGATGTCACGTGTAAATAAAGTGATAATTGGTACACATACAGTCATGGCAAATGGGGGGTTGAGAGCAGTTTCAGGTTCACACACAGTTGCTCAAGCTGCAAAACATTACTCTGTTCCAGTAATGGTGTTGCTACCACTTTATAAACTTTCTCCACTTTATCTTTGTTCACATCAACAGGATGGATTTAATAAAACCGTTTCTCCATTACAAGGTGTAATCAATGGTGCCAATGCACCTTTATTGGAGAGAATCCATGTGTACAATCCAGTATTTGATTATGTACCACCAGAGTTGGTTACCTTATTTATATCAAATACGTAAGGCTCGTCAACTTAACAAATTTAATTTCTTATATCCTTTAATGCTGTGTATTAATGACGTGTTATTGTGTCTTTATTTCAGGGGTGGAAATGCACCATCATATATTTACAGATTACTTAGTGAATTGTACCATCCAGATGACTATGAATTATAAATATATTTATATTCGTGTATGTGTAGTCCAACCACACTTACATGATTAACAAACTATACTCTTTTTAAAAAAAATGTTTTCGTATAAAATGGGACAATGGAAATTATTAACCGAAAAGGAATTTTTTAAGTAACAGGAATATTTATTTCCATGATCAAATATGTACAAGTAGATATAAATTCATTTTACAAAAATGCTCTTTAATAATTTTGGATTTTAAATTTTGAGTGGCAATATTAAAAAACTTGCTTTTGCTATACATAAGGGTTCCAATTGCTACCATCTTCAGGTTGTCGAAAATCAGTTACTAGCAATATTACATCAAAGATCCACCACACTCCTGCTCCACCTAATGTTAATAATTTACCTACAGCGGGACCAGTTTGACCTAAACAAAACCTATCCATTCCAAGGAAACCTAACAGTATACTATACAGTAAAGTTGTAGCAAAATAATGGTCACTATATTTTATACAAGGAAGTCCTTCCCGAGAAAATGTTCTTTGTCCATAACATTCAATATCTGGTAACACTGTACAAGACACTTTCGTTTTCTCAACATCTTCATACCTGGAACCTCCAAACTAAACAAAAAACAGATAAGAATTGGTATTCTATATTATAAATAAGCTACTGTCTTTTGTGCAAATCTGGATTATTATGAATTATTTTAATGAAATTGAAAGTAACCAAAAATTTGTGTATTATATTGAGGGTTCCATTAGATCATAAAAGTCGTATTGAATATAAATAACTATGTAAAATACACAGTCTAGTCATATAAATAAGAAAAAAAATTATTTTATAGTATAGCATAGACATAACAGATATTTATAAGTACCTTCACACACCCAAATCCACTCTCTTCCTTAGCAGTTTTGTTACCCTTATGATCAATCGGTTCCTCGCATTCTATGAACTCCTTTGGTCTATAATAAGCCATTTTAAAGCATCATTTCAAGAAATAATTCTCAAACGTAATCAAGTACATGACAAGAAACATCAAACATGCAATGCGACTACTTACAAAAATTTACACAATACCAGTGGCCCTTCGGGCCTATATTCCTGCGACAAGTCTACGGTTTTGTTAATCGACGTAATACCCAGACAGATTCGCAAATCCCAGAAAAAACATACGAAAATTAGAACCAAATACTGTAATCTCATCTTGACAGGTTCGGCATTTTTAAACACACATTTGTCGGCGGAGTATATTAAAGCGCATCGATAAAGTGCATTTCTACCAACCTGTATGTATACCAGTGGCAAAATATGCTCGTATAAAAGCGTTGACTCATTGGATCCAGGACTCAGTCTTTCTACGGGAACGAGCCAATGCGGAGGTAGATAGAGTCGAAACGACCAATCACGAAACGCTTTCCCTCGTTCCGTGAAACAATTTCAGAGACGCGCAGTGATTTCGGAATCATTCGGTCGTCCGCTCCGAAAGAATTTTAGTTTTGTCAAGGATCGAGGACGTGGGACGTGGGTTCTGTACTTGGTGGAACTTGTGGAAGGTGCACGATAGTGGTTGTACGACTGTAAACAAACTGATTCCGTTTCGCGTATCCGTGGAATCTTTTGCTTGATAGAATTCGTTAGTTGAAAGTCGCTCTATATGTACGGAAATATGCGTGAGAGAGAAGAATTTTGCCGAAGTTTTCCACCGGGACAACCAGCCCAGCCGCCGACGACACGGGCTCCGGGGCTTGACGCTCTGCACAGTCTTTGTAAAGAGATCTACCCAGAGCAAAGTAATCCGCTCACTGTCACTGCTGTCGTTAAATACTGGTGAGAAATCTGTTATTTTATCCAACACCCACAAGCTATTCTTAATCATTCGAATGTTTAAAAACTGAAAGAAAGGTAGAACATACTTGACGTTTACTACACGGTACTCGGTACTGGAGGAACAATGTCTGTATTATTGTTTCGTTACAATGTGAATGTATATAAATTCGCAGTTTAGACCGAAAAATTATTGAATGTTTTCATTGTTATTGAAGGTATTTTAATGTCTGTAAATACAAAACAACTTACAGTCTAAATATTATTATTATTAACATCTGCAATAATTTATTAACGATATTGATGATCCATTTATTGTTCTTGTAGACGTATGTTAGAAAGGAACAGATTGTTCTATATCGTTCCAAATAAAAATTATAATGTTATTATGCTTATCGCGATTTGTTTAAAAACTTGCGTACATGCAAGTAATATAATTCGTTACTTAAATATTTATTATACTTAGACAAACGCTTTTTTTTTATATTTTCCATATGATATATGTTAAAATAAACATTATTAGCATGTTTTGTAATGGCGTTTACGATCATAATCATAATAAATCAATTTTCTGTTATTATTTCCGATAAAAAATAATAACTGTTTAGTATTTGTTGTTAATGCAAAAATCGAAGAAAATCTATTTTATTAGAGGGATGGTATGTCTGCTGTTTGAGTATAAAACTCTTGCACAGGAAGGGAAGGCGATTTATATTTAGTTACCCTTAGCCGCACGTACGTTTAACCGGATATAAAACTAAATAACTGGGATTTTCCGTGCACCTTTGCCTAGGTTGGGGGGTCCGGATCCTCTTGACTACATAAGCATGTACGAAAATCCTGGCTGCCCCGAATTAGGCGTACCACCACATTGGCATTACATTAGGTAAGTTTAATCTCCATTTTTAATAAATTAAATACCCTAATTTTTTCCCTTATCGCATTCTTTCGAAAAATATCGATCTATTTAACATTGTTGTAATTCCAGAAACCGTTAATTCAATATATTTCCTTAACCAATATTTGTCTTTCAACTTATAATTAATTTCGATCATTTATTTTTCTATTTCTTTCTTCCTATTGAAATTTTGGTTTGTTTCCGATTTAGAAGTTATTTCAACAGTTAATTGCACCGCCCTCTTTTATTGCACACGCGATTTTTGAATTGACACTCTGCCGCGCGCCATTCATTCAGGGAAGATGGGTCACATTCGTTTTTGTTCCCTTTTTTTTCTGACATAGAAAAGAGGGAAGAATGTGAGAGCCACAAAAAAACGGGAAGTCGGGTATTCGTCAGTGTCATCCTGTTGAGTAGCGGGAGTGTGCCTCTGTTTGATGTGGGCGCATGTTATTTTTCCGACACACCCTCGATGACACGTGTAGACCGTGCCCATTTCTGTCATTGGAAAATTTCATTTACTACACCGCCACAATGACACGAAAAGCGATACTTTAAATACATTAACATTACACTTTTTAATCTTTACCTTTGTACGAGCAACGATTAATTTTTAAAGTACTCTTCATTGTTTTTCGTCTTAAAATTTCTTATGAATTCGAGTTCACAACTTATATGGATACCGAAAGCAGCGATGGCTCATGCAGTTGAAAGACAAATGATATCCCATCTCAGGAATTCCTTATTAAAGTTTAGGCGCCGAATGACGAATGGTCTGTCGCGAAAGGGTGTTCCTCTTGTTTTTTTCTTGATGCATGACCCTTCCTTCTTCAGTTTGCAGCAGCTGTTCCAATAGTTCCCTTTTTCTCTATATATAGCAAGCATAGGGTACAGGAAGATAAAGTCGTTTAAAATGCGGCGCGTCGGAAATAGATGCGCAGGACTTCCCCTTTTCCGTCTGTCCTATCTAAATATGTTCCACCATTGACTGAAATCTAGTCTATTTTTTTCGGATTAAGTCTAGAGTTATATTTGTCCTGATAGATCCCTGGTAATTCCATGGCCATTAATAGTTGCACAGGCTGTTCCCTTTAATTCCTCTTCTTTCTCAAAGTATTGTACAATAGCAAAATGTCTATGTTAAAGTTTGGGACTGTCGGATCTGCATGGAGATGGAAGAATACATCCAAAAAGTGGTCCAGGCCGTCCAAGTGGATTTGGATTTGAACTAACCTTCAGATTAGTCAGAGAAAGAAATGAAATGACTCCTCCTACTTGGCCAGCAAATGTGATGCAGCAATTAGCAAAATATGTTTTTAATTCTGGGAATATGTTGATGCCCGGTGATCACGTATCATGGCATGCTCCTCTTGATAATGGCAATGGCCGGATCACTCAAATTCTAATGGGCAGGGATCCACAATTACCAACATCTATATATACACCTCATGGTGATGTAAGTTAGCTATTTTATTTAATGTTAGTTTTATGTTTTTAATTCTCTGCAAAGTTGTAATAATTATAGTTTTAACCAAAACCATTTGTTAATTGTCTGTACATTATGTTTTATGATTGATGCGTAATGTTACAGGTTTCATTTGTTCAAATTATAGGAGTTACGTCTGAAGAATTACAGGCTGCTCAACATTGGAATGGTTTAGGTCTTGTGAGTTTGCTAAAGACTAGCCATACATGTGGATCATGGTTGGTAACAGATATGAGAAGGACACGTTCTATTATGGAGGATGAACCCTCCATAGCAGAGAAAATACAGAGTGGGATAGAAAAGGAAGGCTCTAACTTAAGCGGAGTATCCGCAAAGTGTTGGCAAGTATCCTAAATTAATTTTTGGGGAAATTAGTATAATACACAGCAATATATCAGTAATGTGGTAATTTGCAGGTGGGTTCAAGTGAATTATGACAGAAGCACAGAAAGGTATAGGGAGAAAAGAAATGAATCAGACGAGGATGATGAAGAAGTGGAAGAGGATATAAAACCAATCATAAAGTCAGAAAGACTATCTCCTTGCGAACTGGATTCAAGTTTATCTCATGATAGCTTTGTTAGAGTCTTACCAGGGCTTCATTTAACTTTCAACCTTGAAGCAGGATCTCTGTTACCATTAGCAATAAAGTACATGTCCTTACAATATGTTGTTATTAATCCGGAATATCATGCTCCCCGAATATTAAAAATGTAATTAATTTTGCAGGGGTCGTGTTATGCACGGGAGGCATTTTACGTTCAAATCTATATTGTCTAATACAGCGGTCACAATAGTAGCACCAACAGTTACTGGGACTCTAGTTTCTAGAGAAAAGCCATATGTAGTTCAAGGACCATGGTTACAAGTCTTGCTTCCAGAGGATTTATCGGAAAGAATGGCTCAGGAGTTTCAAATATTAAATTCGCCAAATGAAGTAAAAAATATTGGAAATTGTTTTATGAAAAGGATTATTTTGTCTAGGATCGATGATTTAATGTCAATGTATTTTACAGGTTCAATTGCCAAAGACGTTCTCTTGGCCCGAACACAAACTGGTTATTACTGTTGTCAATGATTGAGAACACATAAAAAAAAACTATATATGTTTTAATACGTTTGACCAAGGCAAGTTAGCATAATCAGTTAACGTAAGGGAAGTATTACGTAATTTTATGAGTTTCGAACAATTTATTTATAACTGCATCACGCAGATACGGTCATCGTGGAAACGATCGATCTATAAGACTACGCATATCAAAATGTAAAAGAGGAGGCAAATTATATTTATATATATTTACCGGAACAAAAAATATATTTTATGTTTTGCCAAGTGAAGTTTTTAGCACCACTCTTTTACAGGTTGATACCTGTTAACGATTTATATTTAATTCTGTAAATAATAGAGAACAAGTTAAAACGTGTAATTGTATTTGATATACGAGTTTACACATTGTTACAGCTAATGAACATGTTTTGTAAATAGAGACGACAAATTCTGGCATTATTTTCGTCAGAGCCTTATACCAATTTTTATATGAAGAATTGTAGTGAAATAAAATATAAGGTGTAATATTTATAAGCAAATTATATAGTTTATTTTTCAGAGATTTATTACAAATCATATGCATGATCATACTCCGAGGAATCTCCCTTCTGTATCTGCGGAGTTTTAAGGTATTGTATTTCTAGTATTAAGCGGCTATATTCAAATTATTCTGATCCTTTTTTTTTCTTTTCTTACCTGTTATTGTATTTCATCCACCTCATTTCTCTTCCGCGGGATCTATTCGGAATCGTTTATCATTTCGTCGACTGGCTCGTCTCCCTACCTTTCTTTTCGTGGGACAGGCGCACTCTTCTAGTTTTTCAATCGCTAACTTGTTGCTGTTTGTATTCGCCGCATGTGGTTGACAAAAGAAACGGAATAGGCTCGTTCGAGTGTTCTGAAGGGCAGGTATGACATGAAGGTATATAACGTGCGAATACATAGCGTACCTGTTACTGTTAAAAGTATCGCGGTCGAGATCGGACGGTTACTCTGCACAGAAGACTATTCGTTAGTGTCCGCTTACTTATGGCATCAGATATTTAATTAACTCGTATGTAGTGTTGTTTAAAGTTATTTTAAAGTGAAGTGCTGGTGAAGAATAGAAAGGAAGAAAGATGGTGTCAGAATTTGAGAGATGTGCTTCTATACAATCAAGTAGGTTTATATTAATAATATAATTATATTAACAATATATATATATATATTTATTAATAATAATTATATTAATAATACGTCAAAGTGCGGGCGATACAAAAGAAAATTAATTTATATAACATTTGCGTGTTGAGAATTGATCGAGCATAGACGGCTATTAGTATTATCGTGATAAAAATGGTCATCGATTATCACTGAGATTATTTAATACATGTATAGTTAATAGTGAAATTAAATATTGCTTCACTGTTATACTAAAATCAATAATTGATTTGTATACACATTTGGAAGACGTTTAGTATTTTTATTTCATTAAAACATTGGTGTTTGTTGAAATTTTTAAAAATAACTTATTACTTTTTTTAACGGTCAAAGATAATTGTAGTTTTAGTTAGGCCCCATATAGTTATAAAGTGAAGCTTATACTAGTACTTTATCACATCTTTACAAAGACATTTAAAATGCCAAAACTCGATGGAATAGTTTGCGTTATAAAAAAAGGAGGAAATTATTAGAAGTACTAATGAGTAATTCACTATCTTTTCCAAAACTCAGTATTTATTGGCTGGACAATTTTTTTTACTAATATACACTATAGCCCAATAGGCGATAGTCAAGCTAATTGCAAACACACGATCCCTTAACGATACACGCCATTGTTCTTCAACATCTTGCACCATTTTTATCTAGCACAAAGGCGGGAAGGCATTCCATTCAAACTATACTATCATTACTATCAGCTAATTAAAAAAATCGTGGATTACTCATTAGGGCACCCAGCATGTATGTACAGACTAAAATCCTACTCGACTGATTAAGTTCTTGACTATTCGGAAGAAACCGATCCAAAGTAAAGTAACGATACAGGCAGAAGCGAAATCCTCGACCTCTTCGCAGGTTATGCTTCTGACGACGTTCACGAATCCTCGGAACACGTTCGCGAACGTTTGCATAGCCTCGATCCAGAGGTCCCGCAGGAAGCAGACTGCCTGGAAAATCAGGTTCAACACCGCCAGTGTCAGTTCGATTAACCTCGCCAGGAAATCGAACAAGATGTCCATTAACTTGACGAGGGTTTCCCAAAACCAGCAGACCAATCGCGAGAAGAATTCGACGTATTGCTGCGTGGCGTACGTCACGCGGCTGTTCATGATCGATGATTTTTCCGTGATCCTTGCGCCATTCGCATATATTTTTCTCTACGGATTGGACCCACCCCCCTCTTTTCGTGCGATTCACATTGAAACTGCGGGCGAATTTCACGGTCGACAACACGTTCGAACGGCCGTTCAACATAATATTGCGAGAAAGGGGTTCGGATAAATTCACGACACTTTGTTCTTGTGTTTTCTCCTTCTCTTTTCGCAACGCTGATTCGAAGTAGCCTTCAGCCGTTTGAACCTCTTGCGACACAGACGTGTCGAGAAACTGTACGGTCGCGTGGGAAAATTGTTTAGTCTGCGGAACCGCGAAGATGATCTCTGGATTGTGATCTTTGGATTCCCTTTTTTTTTTTCGTTTTTCGTGCTCTCTACAGGGCGACTCTGGGAACTGGGTCGAGCCTGTAGCATCGTTCTACGTGCGGATAGAGGAAACGGTCGAGTGGTTTAATGAGGGTCGTCTTTAATATAATTATTTTTTCGAGTGCGACCGGTTCTGCACGTGTCTTCTCGTTCTGTTTTTAATGGGATCAGTTTTCTTTCGGGCCGATTCTTCCACTTGGAACGTGTTAAATCAGTTGATTCTAATCAAAGGAAAATTATTTCACTTCGAACTTTATTCAAAAGAGAGAATTAAAGTTAGTTGCTCAACTATTGTATTACAGTACAAAATACAATGCTTAGGGAACTAAGATTATTTCTAGTAATATCATGAATTAGATTCTTTGAGTGGCGCTATCCTGATGAAAGTTATGTAATTTCGTTGAAAATTATTTGACAATTTATTAAAAAATATTGCCTTAAGATTGAGAAAATTTATTATGAAAATCTGATTTTTTTGTTTACACTTACGAATACATAAGGATTTGCATAAACAATTTTAGATAGTTATAACTTAAAATTTCATTTATTTAATATGTTATACAGTCTGCTGTCATTTCATAAGATATATATATCTTACTGTTTTAAAGCAATAACTATCCCAGATAGCACATGACGCCTTGGAGACGCCTATTTTACGGTTATTTTAGGCCTAAGGCGCCTTTAAGCCGTCTTAAAGGCGTTATGTGCTATCTGGGTATAATATAATATATAATATATCATATTGTTCATGTTGATTGAATTATGTTAATGATTAAGTTTTATGGCCTATAAGTACTCGTACTCGTTATGGCAGTTCTTTCGTCGTTTCTATTTGCAAACTATCGAACAGTATCAAATAGTGAGTCTGTTCTGAATACTTGTTGATTATGAAGTATATCTGATTTGAGTGTATGTACAAAATGTGTTTCGAAATTAATATAAACACAAACATTCCAGTCATACTTTTCGCTAGGCAACAAATAAAATCGATAAACATTTATTAACAATATTCTCAGAGATATTTGCACAGTAACTGACTAATAATGAACGTTCTTGTTATACTAAAATTTCGATCGAACAACATATAAAAGAGTTAGTTGACCTATGTATAAATAATAATCTCAAAAAACTTAGAAAATAACTTAAATCCAATTTCTTTTTTCATTGACAGTAGTTTGATTAAAAATTGCACGTTTAAATTGCACGTTTACACTGAAATCAGATGTACTCTATTGTTGGACTTAATATTGTGTTAATTACTCTAATTGTAAATCAATATCGTTCTCTCATAGTTGATATTAATATCATTATTTTATCGATGATATTACTTCCTTATCGTCTTTGGTCCACAGCTAATTGGTCGTATTATAGTTTTAAGTCCGAAGTGGTCCATTATGCGTATTCTCATAAAGGCTTTTTCTTTTCTATATACAATAATTCCCTATGATTGTAATCGACATTTGATATGTGGTATATATCCCCATCAGGCTAACTCGATGAAAAGAGACAGAATCAAAAGTACGAACGAAGCTGCTTGTCGCGTGGATCCGTTGCAAGCATCCGCGTCGTTGCAGGATTGAACGCAACCACGTACGTACCTATAAATTATAAGATAAAAATCAAAATACGATCATAATCGTGTCATAAACTACTTAACAAATTTCGCAATCTGACATTGAAATTTATCTAATTTCCGTATTTCTCTGTTCTATCTTCTTAACCAAAACTTTGCCAATGTGGTCATTTTTAATATTCTGAAAATAACTGTTTGTTTTCGAGATTAATTTATTATGAAATAATCGAAGTATTATTCCATTTAACAGATAGAAAGCAACTTGTGTTACGTGTTTAGCATTCATTATACTCTTTACTTATTTACTACACACTATATTCATATTTAGTTGGACTAGTTCAGTACTTTTATCAGCGAAATAATTGTCTCTTCGAATAGACATTTCTTTTATTCTGTTTTTAGGTACGGCATCGAATAATATTTATACGAGCGCCCCAGTCTTTTTACGTTTTATTGTCAGCTCCTTCCGCTTTTCGTTCTTGTATTGTGGTTATTCAATTTCAGATTGCCCAACTTCCGTCGCGTTTTACTATCGCCTATAAGAAAGTAAGCAAAACTCGTTTCCCGTTTAAACTCACTTGTCGTCGAAGTAGAACCCTCCGCAATGCGACATTCTTATAATTTCCGAGTCGGTCGTCAAAGTTCCGCTGTCCAACGCGCAGCTTCTCACCGTCAAAGAGATTCCAGACTCGTCTAGTCGGTTACAAATAGTTCTTTTTTTCATCTCGTCAATTGAACGATACGTAAACTATTCGAATCTCCAAACAATTAATTTCTTTCAATTTCCATGCATGGTGTATTGAGCCAAGGCAAATGTTTGTGTAGGATAATTAAATCATACAGGATAAGAATTAACAATTTTTGAAGTATAGTGTCTCGATTTCTTCAAAGAATAGCAACCATTCCACAATCTCTTAGTCCGATAAAATTTTAAATAGGAGTAGTATATTCACGTTTAGAGGGTGAAAACTATCCCAATATGGAGGGTGAACCTATTTCATTACACATCTTGGAAACTAAGAATGATAAAAAAAAAGGTTGAAATTAGAGGCTGGACTGAACGTTACAGTAATATTCGTGTTTATGAAATTTATCAATTACCAAAAGTTTCGATGGCTGATTAAATTTTTTGAGACAATTGTGAAAAAATCAAATTACTAATTGGAATGATCGATTAAAATATTGTACAACCACAAACGGGAAAGAAGTAGCCACCTAATTATTTTGAGCAGTTTACCACCCTTTTGTCGCCTAAGGTCTTCGACACGGAGGCGTATTGTGCCGCGAACCATAGTGTATTCAGTGAACACGTAGCGCCAAAAGGGGGTTAAGGGGCACTCGCAAATCACAAAAGGAGGAAGTTTTACCGTATATTCCCGCTATTTTGATGCACGCGGTCGCAGGGAAGAGACCATCGCGGCCTTTGCGACCTCCCAGGCATGGCGACTCCAAGAAAGCCAGGCTTCCGTTATTGTGGAAAGGGTCGTCGCAGGGCTTATTGTCTCCGTCGATCGACACGCACTTGAAACAGTCAATGGCCCAGCCTGGTGCGACAGAATCAGAGCAAACGTCGAGAAATTATTCAAGTGCAATGGTCGTAGTAGATAGTCGACTCAAGGTTAGACAGTTCGTATTTGAAACGAGGCTAGGAAACCGAGAACGATATATGATTATTGGAATGAGAATACCAAACAGGTTGCATGGAAATAAATTTCAAAATGATCTACAGGCAACCCCCATGTAACATGGAATTCCTATGACACGCTTAGAGAATTGGGGAAACCTCCGAATAACACGGTCGAAGAATTGTGAAGAAATAGTTTTGCTAGTTTTTGGAACCTAATTTTTTGTATACACATACATATTAATTATTATAGTAGTCTAGTATAACACAAAATTCACATAACACGGTAATTTTTAAAAATTGAACGACAGTGTTACACGAAGGTTATCTGTACTCACATATTCCACGAACAATTCATTATTCCATAGTAAATGCAAAACGGGAAATAGAAATTCTTTCGTTAGAAAACACATGAATATAAATCCGTGGTACTAAAAGAGAATTTCTAGTGGCGCTGAAAGATAATTTCGATTCTATTACAGAGAGCAAATAATAAGTAATACTATTACTCGGATAACATTAACTAAGGTAGCAGAATAGGACAAATAATAAGGAAGATTAAATTTTTTTTGAATAAGTATACCAATAATATCTACCCCTGTGCTGACTCTGCACAGTGTATAAAATTAGATTCGAGTATTATTCGAATAAAATTACATTGAACTAGTTATCCAAACAGTATATCAACTTATCCGTTCAGAAACTGACTTAATTGATTTCCCTTTCATTACAAATACTTGCTTTAGTCTAACGATCTACACCCGAATTTCATCTTGGACGGTCAACTTCAACAAGACTCTGTCCTCATGTATTATTACATGCCCAAGTTCAGTTCATAAGCCACATTACATTATTCCTTATCCCATTACACTACTATCCGCGGTGCACTGACCTTGCGACACGACGAGTATCACGATCAGCCCGAAACAGACGATCCAGGTGAACCCGGCGTCCATCTTTCCCCGGTTCCGCGGAACGGTTCAGCCCAGGCCAGCAGCAAGCGCGATCCTCCCAATTGTCGTCAGCTACGGAACCCAAAGTCCTCCGTGTCGAGTATCGCCAGCGGGCTCATGTCAGACGGGAAAGACCGATCCCAACCGAAACGACGATCAACGTCTCCGTGGACGTGGATCGGACTAAATCGTCTGTAGTCACCGACAAATCCATACGGAGGCAAGGAACACGGTTTTCTCGGCGACGCTGCCTCGACGCTGTCGTATCCACTACGACGCAGTGTTTTGCCGAACGGTTACCAAGGCGATGATGATAACGAGCCGCGTCGGATTCGGAGGACCGTCTTTCACGGGGTTTCAAGGGCTGATCGATGATCTCCCCTGGAATCGACTGGGGTGAAAAGGAAACCGTAAAATAATTCGTGGTTGGAACTTTTCCGGTTTGCCTCCCTCGGGTCTGATCCACCCAGGAACACCCTGGGCTAGGACAGTCCGCAATTGCGTGATGCCATTCCGCGTGGTACAGTAAAATGCGACCGAGGAACACGCGAATTGTGGGCGCAGTTGCGAACCCGTAGGTTGCGTATAGCTACGTGGACATTTGGATGGGATAAGGGACGCGTGTGTGTGTGTGTAGGGGTGTTTGTGCGAAAGTTATGGTGCTGTACGAGGGGAACGGAACTTTTATTAGGGTGTTCTCTTGCGTGTTCACGTTGATCGAGCGTTGCTGGAGACGACTCGACGATCGTTTTGGTATGTACTTTATTGATGGGGGAAGAAGTATGGCGACTTTTCTTGAGATCTGTTGAGTAGTGTTTTTGATAGATGGAAACTGGTAAATGTATTTTTGTTATTGAAGAACACACACAGACGTACTTTCGGTACCTCCATACTTCTTTCTGTTTGTATTGTAGATTAGGTTACTAGCTACAATGCGTTAACGTTCATTAATGATAAAACCATATTTGTTCTGGAACTGTGATATTAAATAGCTCTATTGTTAATTGGCATATGAGTCTGTAGAAAGTCATTATATTTGTTCTATCGAGGTGCGGGAGTATAGAATGTGTATAGTCAAGCACGGATCTTTGCAAGCAAGGAACATAGAGGTTTTGTAAATTCTTTCTTTTTATTTAGAGCTTCTTCTGCTTGTTTATACGTTTACTGTAAATTTGTTCGTAACGATTCGTTTCTCGATCTGTCCGACTAACTCCTCCTTTAGCTATCATCTTCACTGGGTCAGAGTACATTATGTATAGACAGTCGCAGAGTCATAAATTAGTGACGGTGTCAAGTCTACAGAAGATTCTAACTGTTTGGTTCAATAAGGTAAAATTAAATTATTACCTTCTTAAAATACGTGAAACTGTCTACGGGAGAATATTACATTTGACACGATATCTTGTGACGAACATGTAGTTCGATCGTAGGTAAATGTATTAAGTATATGTATCTGAAGGTTAACTTCGTTTTTGTATCGACAAAGGCTTATGTTGTTGCTTCTTAAGACGGGTCAATGACTTGTAGTTTACGAACGTGGAACTGTTTAGAATTATTCTCGGTCATCGTTATACGTCAATCATTACTTCCATTTAGTGGATGGATTTAATATATTTATTATCGGTATATTTTCAATACGAAACTGGATCAACAGTGACCCAATGTCGACTAGTCGAGGATTAACATTTAAAAAGAATTGTCGAAAAACTTAAGCTGATCAGGTACTGTTATTCATGCTGTTCAAAAAAGCGTATATATTATGAAATTGACTTCTTATTAGAACCAATTATGTAAACATACTTCTATAACCATGCTGATAAGTAGCCTGCGGATTTTATTGCAAAACACAATAAATCAGTAATCTTATATATAGATTCTAGATAAAAACTCCAATGCAGTTGACACAAACCTCATTTTCTTTATTATCTAGTCAACTCGTTAATTTTATTATTAATTTTTGTAAATTAGTCCAGAAATATATCAACTTACATTAACATCCGCAGTGTACTTATCTAGAATTAACTAATTTTTTCTTTAATTCTAAACTTATCCAATCTCCCAACTGTTAAAACAAACTCTCCTTTGATACTGGTCTGTTCTCAAAGAGTCTACGAAAATAAAAATTAGCACACAGTCCGCGATCCACTAACGAGTCAATCGTGCAAACTACGAAATCGTAACGAAAATCCCATAATGATTCGTGAAGGTTACCTTTATTTTATTCTTAGCAACGTACTGCCGGCGAACGACAGAAGCCCGTGGACAGGGTCGACAGCGTATTAATCGTCTCCGCGTCTCGCGAGATAACGCGATCCCATTCAAAATCCCGCGGGTCGCGCACGCGCAGGTGGTCGCGGGCCAATCACCTCGTCGCCTCGAAGCGGCCGTCCGTCTCTGTCCGTAGCGACACTGCGGGTACACGATGTGATAGTATTTTTCGAAAAATGTGTCGGTCTTTCGCGCACTCATGCGTCCGGTTTTTCACGTGAGCCCGCCGCGATCCATCGAGCGCTTTATCCCGTGGCTGCCATCGCCGTCGGCGTGATAATAATGGGCCAGTCGTCGAGCAACACCGGGCACAGCGGTGAGTGTCGATATTTTTTACAACCGTACCCGTGATTGTGTGGTGTTGTCGGCCGACTCGACGTTTTTTCGAGTCGCACTGCACGCTTGACATGTGTCAACTGCGAGGGCTCTTGACTTTGCTGCCAGCTCCTGCGCAAGTTTCGTTGACTTTTTTCGTGGCATTGCGTCGTCTGCGGCGAGAACGTTTTCGACCCGTCTGTGTTTTCCGCAGAGATAAACGGTGGCACGGTTCTGTCGCGGTCACCTTGCGTTTCGAGTCAGCCTCGCCAATTTGAGGTTATGTCGTCTGATGCATCGAGCGTATCGCCACAGGGATACGCGCGGTATCGTTTCCCAGTGGATCCGTTCGTCGTGTCCCGTCCACGTACTACCCCGTTCCTCGTCGACCCGCTCGACGGTTCTTTTCGATATTTTCGTACGTCTTTCCTCTGTCTGTCATTGATCCCCGATTTTCCTGCCGCAGTGGTCGAATCTGCGCAAAACGATCGTTATCGCCGGAACGATGCTTTTTTCCTACTTTGTTTTCCGACCGGAGTCGATCAGCCTGGCCAGTTTTTACGTGTTATTTATCGTAGCTCGGAAATGTTCGAATCTTGGGCATCCACGCGCATATACAAATCGTTGCATACGCGCCATGTGATTTGTATTCGGCCTCCAGGCCGTTGCAATTACTGTTTGTGTTGATTTGTACAGATAAAGTTTTACGTAATTCCCATAGATATCGCGCAGCGCGAATCAGCAGTGTTTATGTTTGTTAGTTGCTCGACGATTTCGATAATGTCTATGTATGTTGATTGCTCTTTTCGATGGACCTTTGGTATTGATTATAGTCATCATGTAAGTGTAATGAAAGTTATTGTGATCGGTGTAGTTCTTCATTGCTTTATTGTTGTTTTGTTTGAAGGTAATAAGAATTAAGGACTTCTGTTAAAGACGGTTGTTTTATTGTCATTTTGATAGCGTTGGTAGTCAATTATTGGATATTAAGTCTCTTGGCTGTTAATTTCTAAGAAAGGATTATGATTTTCTATCTTACCGACACGTGTTTGAACGAACCATTGTACGCGAGCGACATCTGGTCACCCATAAGCACGTGTGATTTATCTTGTCGGTAAAAATGGCATCAACTGATTTTGTAATGTGATAAAAAAAGCATAATAAATATGTAAAAATATTGCAGATTTTAATGAAATAATTCAAGATTTTAGTAAGAGAATGATCTGGTAGAACAATAGGATTATAAAAATATGAAGTTTTTTTTATATTAATTCACTTCTTTCAGTGATTGTTTACAACTTTACACCCTCCCGGTTGAAAAAGATATAAGAAATGAGTAAACATTTCACAGTATTTTTAATCAATACCTAAATTCGATAATTATATTACTAAACTCTGTTTTGCCTGTCAGGAAAAGATACGGGGAAACAGATTGTTCAAACAAGCCTACCTCTCCAAACAAAGTATCTTTTTTGAAACGAAAAGTAGCAAAGTTTCGCACCTCTACTCAATTATCTTAGTATGTGTAACGAAAGAAACAAATAAAAGGGAACATATGGCGATCGATTAAGGTGTAAGGTGTTACCTGGGAAATAATAAATAAATAATGCACGCGCTCAAAATAAGATTTCTCGTTTCTGATCGTCAAATACATTTACCATGAAACTGAGATTTCCCATTTCGAATCGTCACACATTTAGGTACTACAAAAACGATATTTTTCTCTGTCGCCGATATGTTAAAAGATTCTTCAATACCGTAATTCCTCATTTTTGTAATTCCCATTGAATTCGTTGATCATTTCGGAACAGTAACGAAGCAGCTCGTATAAAAAGTGGCACGGGGCCATCTTTCTTCGCAAAAACGAACAGCCCCCGATAAGCGATAATTAATTGCGAAGGTGTACGATGTATCCCGGCCGCAATTCGTGAACAAGACGTTTCCCTTCCGTACAAATATTTTGCCAGCTGCATCTCTCTCCACCAGCTCGTCCTCCACGAGGAGGAGGAACACCTTTCGATTTCGTTTCGTACTCCGAGCCGGGCTTGCAAGATGGCCCGTTGCTGTAGAAGCCCGCGCGCAGGTACCACGCGCGTATACCTTGGGCATGGGCCACAGATGTTATTCGCAGAGCCTCAAAACCGTTTCCCCTTCTATTATCTAATCGACGTCACGCGAACAAACCCAGAGAACGATTTCCTTCAATTTGACGAACGATCTTGGGTGTTTTGTGGTATCGCTCTATTACTATTATTATTCTCATTATTGGGCCAGTGAACGTGAAACTGTTATTTTGAGCCGAGACAATACATGCCGCCGATTGTGGCGATTTTACTGTAGAAAAAAGAATCACTGGTTTGTGTACATATGTTTTTCGATGATTAATTAAGTAATTTGTACAGTGGCGCTGGGTAGAAAGTTTAACGCTGTAATCACTGTGTTAACGTAGTAAAGTCACTGTCAGAGGATCCAAAATTCTGTTCCATTTAATTTTTAAATATTACTATCTGAAATTGTGAATTTGCATAAATTTCCGCAGTCTAATCTATGAGCGTTCAAATCAACGTGTAAATATTTATATTGTTAATAACAAGTACCTAAACAACCGTACCTAAATTACCGTCATGTTTCTCGACCGATCGAAATAGATATGCGTTTATCATTGGTAGTTCTAGTGTTAAATAAATGTAGGGAGGACGAAGAAACGGCGGGAAATTTGAAAAAGACTCTGTCGTCCGGTTTACGAAATCGATATTGCGTTCCCCGCGACATGTACGACTAATTACCAGCGGAAACGGTGACCGGGGTCAAAGGTAAGACTTCCGGGGAAAGGGGAGGAAAGCTCGTAGACGTCGCAGCGGCTGTGTGGTTCAGGGCAGCGACCCAGTTCTCATATGTATTTATACCAGAAGATGCTATGCCGGCTGCGTGTGGCCATTTTCGAGGGTGGAGAAGGACGGGGATAGAGACGGGAGAAGGAGAGAACGAGAGAGACGCCGGGGAAAGAGAGCCGTCTCGTGCGTCACGAGACGCGCCACGGGGGCTAATGAATCTGAAAATTTAATTCCGACTTGCGGGAAAACCGATGTACCCGGTGACAAATGAAGCATTCGCGGAGATCAGGATTGTCGTTACTGGGTGTACTGGTTTGATCGATTTCCGTCATCCATGTCATCCAGGATTTGCGAGAGGGATTTACAACAAAATACAAAATGTTGGTGTTAGACAATGTTGCCACTTTGGAGGTATTCCCACCAGAGTTAGGGTATTTTTCTATCAACAGGGGCAGACATTTTTTAAGGGGAAATCTGGGGATTTTATTTAAAAAAAAAGTCGAAATCAACTTTTTTTATATTTAAGAAAATTTACTATTTTAGAAAAAAATTTAGCATGTTCAGTACCTATCTATTGGAAAACTAAAAAACTACGACCGAATTTTCATTAGTTTGGTTGTACTCTAATTGGCAGTTATTATAGAAGGGGTAAATGCTTTTTTACAATTATTTCAGAACACTGAAGTGAGCCTTGACTTTGGTGCGTGCACTTGCAGTCATATAAGGGGTGTCTTGGAATATTAGCACAACTAAACAGCAATCTTTAATTCAGACTGGTTCGTTTCGTATACTATTTTTTATACTACACTTTTTATTTATTTTGGCACATAGGCCATACCGTATTATTATTTATACAGTACTAATCTATTGTTCGATTTGTTCCACTCATTGTAACATACTTAATAGGTACAGTATGTTGTAAGAAAATACTTTAAGAAACTATAGAGTGAAAATGTTGTTTATTCTAGCTTTCGTTCACGAGATCAATTCCTCGCGAAAACTCGAGTGCAGTGATCAGCATAAATTTTCCGTATTTTCGCGAACCGGGAAGATTTGTCAGTAGAGAAAGTTCGAGCGCTCTTGCAGCTAAATTAAATGCGGACAGAAGTTTCGGAAACTCGGTTATTAACTGCTAGGGGGAAGTTTTACAGCTGGCCACGGGACCAGCGAGTTGACGAAACTAAGAGAAAAGTTCGGTCGAGATTTATGATTGATGGAGTACGCCTCCTTGTTGTTTTACTTTGCTTGTGGAATATTTAACACGTTCAGGGTCGCTGATAATTTTCAAGTTTACGGTACTTAACATTTCATTGATTGGTCGAGGAGACGAATTTTCATATTTTTAAAAAGAACAAAAACATCCATGCAGATATATTACGATTAGGAAAATAATAACTGCTTTTGATATTCCATTCGTCAATGTGTTAGTAAATTTTATAAAGATAATAAGAAACCTTTTTATGTTCGAAAGATTAATTTAGAATATTTGTCTTAATAATGTACTGTTGATATGTACTTTAGCAAGGTTAAGAAATGAATATTGTTAACGTTGTTTAATTATTAATATATTTTGTTTTCTTTTTTGTCTAATAAACTCATCATTATTATTCATCTGAAACTGAGAATCACAAACATTGGAAAATGGTCAGACTTTTATCTTGATCTCCCGAAACACGATCATCTAATCGTCACGATCGATGGTAAAAGTCCATCGATCTTTCCTCGAACCATGTCTAACTCAAATTTCTCAACCGTTCCACACGACTTATCCGCTTTTCGTTCGTTTTTCACTTGCGGTTACGTCGTTTTCATCGATCTCTACCTGCCCGTGTCCTTCGTCCCATCTGAACAAAGGACGACAGTCAGGTTGAACGAAGTTCCTCCCCTCGGATTTGCGCCATCGGCTCTCCCAGCGAAATTTCTATTTTTTCGAATGTCAGACGGTACGTAACCAGGTCGGTTTAAATCGCAACCCAAGTTTCGCCGATTTTCCTTCAGGTACCAATCCTACAATGGACGCTTTAAAGTGGCAATCTTTAAATGTCCCGTCATTGTGCGCGTCCACGTTGAAGTTCGAACACGTATTGTGGGATCAGCTGTGTACGAGCTGGCGTGGGAGGATCGGTCGACTGATTGTGAGATTTATAGATCGTCTTTCTCTCGAGAA